GCTCACAATAAAAGAAAACCTCGGCATTACCAGTGGAAGCGAGCTCCTACATATTTGATCAACAAGGTCAAATTCGGTCAAGTATTTAAGGAAATCCAGTGAAGGAGGAACCAAAAGTTTTCTGTTTAGATTTTCTTCTACTTCTAAGAGCAAGCGCGGCCTTAATTGAATTGTTTCAGTCACTATTCCTCCATTGTAAATAGAGGATACCGCTTTCAATTTTAATTTCTAGAATGAGAAAGGAAAACAGAAAATGGTGATGGCATTAAAAGATCCTAATTGAAGATTTCCATAGAGCAAAAATGTTATATAAAAAAGAGAGAGAGCTTTTGCGAGTTCTTTACACAAACTCTCTACCTCTTATGTAAGCAGAACAAAAGCAGGTGCTAAGTGCTTTATGATCTCTTGTCAAGGTCCTTTTTCCAGCAATCAAGTGCCTCTCCCTCATCATTTGTGATGCACGATCTCATGCATGACTTGGCCAGCCATGTGTCCGGTCAATTTTGCTTCAGCTCCAGGTTGGGGGAAAATAATTCTTCCAAGGCCACCAGAAGGACTCGACATTTATCACTCGTAGTAGATACGGGAGGCGGTTTTTCAAGCACAGAATCAGAAATCATCCGTGAAGCCCAACATCTACGCACATTCAAAACTTTTACACGCCGTCCGTGGCGTCCTCCCGAATTTTATACTGAGATCTTTCAGTCAACACTTGAGCGCCTACGAGTGCTATTCATGACTGATTGTAGAGATGCAACTTTGATGTTTTGTTCAACTAGCAGGTTGAAGCATTTGCGGTATTTGGATCTTTCCTCGTCATATGATTTAGTAACGTTGCCTGAAGAAGTGAGCGGGCTTCTCAATTTGCAAACGTTGATCTTGAAATATTGCAAACTACTTGCTAGTCTACCTGATCTTGGAAATTTGAAATATTGCAAACTACTTGCTATTTACGACATCTGAATCTTAAAGGAACAGAAAAAAGCTTTTGCGAGTTCTTTACACAAACTCTTTACCTCTTATGTAACCAGAACAAAAGCAGGTGCTAAGTGCTTTGATGATCTCTTGTCAAGGTCCTTTTTCCAGCAATCAAGTGCCTCTCCCTCATCATTTGTGATGCACGATCTCATGCATGACTTGGCTACCCATGTGTCCGGTCAATTTTGCTTCAGCTCCAGGTTGGGGGAAAATAATTCTTCCAAGGCCACCAGAAGGACTCGACATTTATCACTCGTAGTAGATGCGTTTGGTGGTTTTTCAAGCACAAAATTAGAAAACATCCGTCAAGCCCAACATCTACGCACATTCCGCACTTTTTCATGCTTTTCGTGTCCTCGCGAATTTTATAATGTGATCTTTCAGTCAACCCTTGGGCGCCTACGAGTGCTATTCATGACTTATTGTAGAGATGCATCTATGTTGTTATGTTCAACTAGCAAGTTGAAGCATTTGCGGTATTTGAATCTTTCCTGGTCAGATTTAGTAACGTTGCCTTCTTACCAACTGCACCTCCTTACCACCGCTCGGGCAATTAGCTTCTTTAGAGCATCTCTTAATTGCATCATTCCATAAAGTTGTGACTGTGGGTTCCGAGTTCTATGGGAATTGTACTGCTATGAAGAAGCCATTTGAATCCCTTGAAAGTTTAACTTTTGAAGGGATGCCAGAGTGGCGCGAGTGGAATTCGTTACGAAGGAAGCCGGGAAGCCTTCCCTCTTCTTCAGGAACTTTCAATCAGACAATGCCCCAACCTTACAAAGGCCCTACCTAGTCACCACGTTCCACGTGTAACAAGACTTAGTATTAGAGAATGTGAGCAGTTCGCGACTCCACTTCCTAGGTTTCCTAGGTTGCTCTCTCTCGATGTTTCTGGATTCCACTCCCTAGAGTCCCTACCCTAGGAAATTGATCAAATGGGTTGTTCACCTTCTGATTTAGGGAAAATTAGCATCGACGGCTGCGCTTCTCTCAAATGCGTCGCACTGGACTTGCTCCCCAAGTTAAATTCTCTTTCTAACTGTCCAGATCTCGAATCAGTATGTGCACATGAAAGACCTCTCGATGATCTCACCTCTCTCCATTCTTTGGAAATCCGGAGGTGCCCAAAATTAGTTTCATTTCTCAAAGGAGGGTTACCTGCTCCAGTCTTGACACGGCTTGAGTTAATAGAATGCAGGAAATTGAAGCTGTTGCCTGAGAGTATGCCTTCCCTCCTCCCATCCCTTAACCGTTTGGTAATACATGGTTGTTCTGAAGTTGAGTTGTGTCCAGAAGGGGGGTTTTCCCTCCACATTACGAACACTTCGTATTTTGGATTGCAACAAGCTCATTGCAGGCCGCATGCAATGGGGCTTGCAAACGCTCCCTTCTCTTTCACACTTTACAATTGGTTTGGACGAAAATGTTGAATCCTTCCCTGAAGAGATGCTGCTGCCCTCGAGTCTTACATCTCTTACCATCAGCTCCCTAGAACACCTGAAATCTCTTGACTACAAGGGGCTTCAACACCTCACCTCTCTTAGAGAATTGACTATAAGTAACTGCCCTCTGATTGAGTCAATGCCAGAAGAAGGGTTTGCCCTCCTCCCTTTCTACTCTTGTAATTGACTATTGTCCCATGCTGGGTGAAAGTTGTGAAAGGGAGAAAGGTAAGGATTGGACCGAGATTTCTTACATTCCTCGCATATTATGTTGAAATACAGATAATTTCTTTCTATTGTCTCTCATTCATCTTCATATGTAACATAAATTTCATTATCTTTTTTCGCTATAATTATTTTCTTAAGTTGATTTGATTAGTATTGTACTTTTCTCATTCTAACATTTGTGGTTAGAACAAAGTAATTTTCACAACTTCCGTTACATAAATTGCTTCTTAAAAAAAAAAAATAACAAGAGAAGGAGAATGATCAATGGGAGCGGTGAAACCTTTGGCTTCTTTCCTTTGAATCCAAATTCAAATCCTTCTATTGTTCCTCGATCTTGTTCTGCTGCCACCCCAGCTGGAGGATCATCACATGCTTCAGATTTTGAATTTAGTTATTGCAAATCCATTGCTAGAAAGGATTAAAAAAATATTAAATTATTTAAGTAATCTGCAACGCATTTTTCATTGTCGACGCGGCAAAATCAAATCTGCAACTGATTCAAAAAATAAATTAAACCCTTAATTATATAAAATCTCCATTCTCTCCTTTTCTGCGTCATCAAAAATTCAAATTTTTTTCTCCATCTCTTTCTCTAGTCCATTCGCCTTCTTCAAAAATTCAAAATCCAAAAACTTATGATTTATCTCTTTTTTTATTATTTAACTCTGATTAAAATAAATTTATTCCATATAAAGCTGAAGTTAAAAAATAATAATTTTGGAGTGTAGGCAGGCCCTTTCTAATAAAATTTATTTTATATATAACTAGTAATATTTTATTAGTTATTTTTATAAAAAAATACATGCAAAAAGAAGAAATAATATAAAATTCACCAACGTTTTGGAATCACAATTGAAGCAAGTGACAATTCAGAAGAAATAATATTATATTTATTAAAAAAATTGATATGTGTTTGATGTTTTTAAATTATTTTAATATGCTTTTGAAGGTTTAATAATTATTGGATCATCATCCTTTCGCACAATCAACAGGAAGGATTAAAGCACAGAAAGTCATCATCTCGAGAACTCACAGCGATGAGTACAATGTTGTAGCAGATATGTAGCTATATTAACAACATTAATACTTTCAGCGTGCACAAATGCGACTTCTTGATAGTTAATCATGGAAAAATTAAATTTCCTTTTCTAATTAAATGAAGATCTCTGCTAAATATTATGCTATTTGAATTGTCACCTCATGAATACATGCTGCGCCGCACTCATGGATGCTGCACCAGTACAAAGCTACAAATGTCAGTTTAATATCTGCCTTCACCCAGGTCGGCCGACAATGTTACCAAAGCTTCTCTCCTACAAATGGCAGGATATATTCGTTATTTTAATTAAAAAAAAAATAATCTGCCTTCACCTAGGTCGGCCTGCAATACAATACCAAAGCTTCTCTCATCTAAATCAAGACATGATGACGAGCACCTGCAACCATAACAGAACCACTGGAAGCGAACCACTACATATTTGATCAATAAGGTCAAGTTCAGTCGAGTTTTTAAGGAAATCCAGTGAAAGAGGAACCTAAAATACTACATGTTTGTATCAACTCTTCTCTTCTTCTCTCTTATTGCTTTCTATAGACAGAAAGACTTCTCATAAGGCTGGATTAGGGTTAAACACAAAAAATTCTAAAACCGTATTTTATTTTTTAACTACTGTTATGTTCAAGTCGGCCTCTTGAAAAGGTTTACATGCATATGGTCTAAAAAAATTGACCTACACCAGAAAACAAAATTAGAATCCCTAAACATAAAGAAAAATAGCATAAAATCCGAAATAAACAATAAATCTAAAAATATCAGATGATGCTGGTCCGTGTTTGCCAAACATGCATTTGGTGATGAAAATGCCAATGCTCAATGAAGAGTTGCAAGAAATTGGTAGAGCAATAGTGAGGATTGTCTGATGTTCACCCGTAATCGTAGCTGAAGAAAAGTTAGAAATAATTTAAAACTAAATGTTTGTATTTTTTTTTTTGAAAAAAAATATAAAAAAAATGTTCTCTTAGAAAAAAATATGACAGAGTTTTTAAAAATTCAAAGACTAAAATAAACATTAATGAAAAGCTACTTTTTTGTCGACATGGGCCGGGTATTACATAGGCAGGTATGTGTATGGGTTTAGGGTGATAGATATGGTCCAGTAATAGCAAATTATGTTTTAATGGTAAGATATGTATGAGCTAGCCCTATTCATCTCTTTACTGCTCTATAATTCTTAATAAATTTTATCCAAATAGTTTTAACGGATAAAATGGAGTATAATATTTGTAAGGATAATGACCGTTAAAAAAATTAAACTCAAATTATAATTTTGAAAATTTTAGTATTTAAAATAAAATCATTCATAAGTGGTGATTGAATTAGTAACCCAAAAAAAAATAACATATCTGTTTCAACCACAAAATCACATATTATTATAAATATTATAACACAGCTTAGTATACTGTTTTTTTTCACTCGCACTTTTCTTTCAAGTACAAAATCATACTAAAAACTAAAAATAAATAAGGTTTATGCTCGGTTGCTTCCATTCTTAAATCTTGGGCTAAGTATATTAGTTTTGCGCGCTACCTAAGTACATTCATTGTACTAAAAGCACAGGTATATATAAATTGATTGATGGATAGATAAGGATAGAGATGAAAATAGATACTCAAGCCTTACATTATTAAGATCCGAATCCAAAAGTGATATTCAAGTTTAACTCGAACATGAAAAAGCATGAGTTTTTTATACACAAACCCGATCTGATCAGGTTACTCGAAATAAATTTGATATGGGAACAAACCTACGTCAAATTAGAACAAATGGGTCATAACCGAGAAAAGTAAAGCCCAGAACGAAGAAGAAAATATGAAAAAACGTTAGTTCCCTGATGCGCTCCAGTTTCCGATTGCTTCCATCAATGGTTTTCTTGTGTTTCACAAAGGTTACGATCTTGGGTAACATCCAAATTCCATCTATGGAATGATGCAACCAAAACTTGGCAAATTCTCGTAACATGTCCTTGTTCTCTGAAATCTGTAAAGAAGTTAGCAATAGCTATGCCCATGAACGGTGTAGGAATTCTAAATCCTAGCACCCACCCAGCCAAATTCAAGATACTCAAGACCAAATTCTCAATTTTTATTCATCATGATTGATCATGATCTAGCCCGTACAAAACCTTTGACTAGCCATAAAAGGCCCATCAATGATTTTAGGTTTAATTACCGACTTTAATAGTATTTAGTAAAGTGATAACATTAATTTTTAAATATATTAAAATAATATTTTTTATTTTAAAAATTTATATTTGAAATCTATATATTAAAAAAATAAAAAATATATATTATTTAAAAAAATATCTCACTGTAAAAACAAAGTAACAACGAATAACAAAATTAAACCATGACGGAAAGCATGGATAACTTTAACGACAATGCTGCTTCAGTTCACAATATTTTCAGCATGACAGATGCCTGATGAAGTTGGTAAATGACATGATTAAAGAGTTGATATCTTTTTTCAAATATAGGAGTGTTAAAGTAATAAATAACCAGGCAAGATCGGGGTCGAATCACAGGGAAGTTAACTATATAATAATAATAATAATAATAATAATAATAATAATAATAATA